TTTGTTGTTAATTTGATTTATTCAAAATGCATGATGTGTCATTAAAACTGATAATTACATTGTTTTTATAGTTTTAAATAACTTTTTAAAATGAGAAATTCAATTTAAATAATAATATCTATTTGTCTTTAATTCTCAATTGAAAGGAGCTATACATGACATTTTTTTAAAACTTTCATATCATCAATAAATCAAAACAATCAAAATTATTATTAAAAGTAATAACTCCCTCATTTTACCTTTTATATAAAGTTATTCTCCTATATAATCCAATTCAGTTGGTTATTTAAAGAGTTCATGTTTGTTTAAATATAAATAAAATATGAAAGAACATTTATAAAAATTTATTTGAAAAAAAAATACTTCACTACTATGTGTAGAAACATTACCAATTATTAATTTCATTAATATTCAAATTATTCGTTTACCAAGTTCATTAATTGGCACCATTATATCAATACCGATATGAATATTATAAAAAAATAAAATTTAAATGCATATTCATTAAATTTTAAGTACATAAATAAATAAGGTTATTTAAGTTAATAAATTATATATAATAATTAGTGCTTTTGACGAAATTCAACATAATTCATAGTCAAAGTTTATGTCATAAAATATTTAAAATCTTATCACCCGTATTATTGTATACACTTTCTTATTAAACTCAAATGTTATAAATTATAACACACGAGTAAATGTGTGACAACATATCATTATTATCTAATTTATTTAGTTATTAATTTTATTTTTATCAATATGTTAAATACAAATACCAAAAATTATGTGTTAAATATATTTGTCTTGAGCGTATTGTTTAACGTTTCATGTGTTGATTTTATTTAGGGTAAGTCATAGATAAAAAAAATAGCTTATGAGTTATGAGTTTTTATTAGATTCATATAATGGTAAATTTCATAAGCGAAACTAGTTTTGTGTTGTCAATATAACAATTTTTAAGCTAACACAAGATACATAAAATAACAAATAATAAAAGACGATAATAATAAATTATGTGTATTAAGGAATAACTTTTACTAATTGTGTACACACTTTTATCGTTTTAGAAGTTAGAAATTTGTAATAGCTGTACATATTTTTGAATGAATTATGTTTTATTGTTAATTGCTTTTTTAAATATTTTATAGGTATTTTAGTGAATGTAATTTATAGTACATTTACCGTGTTAAATGTGTTTTAGGTATACTGCAAGTAGCTATAATAGTGATTAGTAACGAAAAGCATATCTTTGGCCTTCAAATTTCGTGCGTCTATCATAACATTTTTAATTTTTCATGCTTATTATATTTAATAGTTATATTTATTTTCCACTAGTATTTTATTTTATTCACAATATGAAAAAATGATTGAAGTTAATTGCAAATGACAATTTTTACAATGTTACCAATAATTTTTTATTTGAAATGTGAGAAATAAAAATAAAAAAACCTTCTAGAAGATGATTATTCAGTGTAAGTATTATAATTTGAACAATATAATGAAAATGTTCAATACATTATTTTGAACGAAAATAATGTAAAATTACAAATAACTTTATTATTCAGTAGTTGTATCATTATATAAGTAATTGAAAATACATTAATTGCCTTTGAACTTTAAATGAATATATAATGATATGTAATAAGGTATAGAATTAATGTAAATATCTACTTTATCCAATTATCAAAATTTAAGCTTACACTTAATCTATTATTATAATACCCTTTGTCTTTGATCTTAATAAAAAATTTGATATTTTGATAATTATAATTGAGAATATTTATTGTAACCTAAAATTTGAATTTATCAATTATTATCTTAAAATTATAAACTTAATTACATCTTAATCATTTACATTTTTTTAATCTATGAAATTGTATTTTTTAATAATTCTTTTGCATACAAAATTACTATAGGTACACATATTATTTTTACCTAATGTAATTCTATGAAAATAAAATACTTAAATGACGTTTTTATTTCATGATACATTTAGACCCTACAAATATAATATATTTAAATAAAAATTAATTTATTAAAATTTTTGTAATATTCATTTTTTGACGAGAACTTACACAAAGATAATAATATTTTGTATTTAATATAATAATGATTTTTATTAATAAATAAGTAATTGAATATCATAATTACTATTGAATACAGTATTTAAACATATAAATAACGTTCTACGCGTTTTTAAAAGATAAAAATATATTTTCTTATTCTTAGTGTACAAATCATATAATTCATAAAATTATTTATATAAGATTCTGAGTAGAGCAATGAATGTATTGATTTTTCAATGACGGTTTTTTTTTATGACTATTATAATTTATAAGTGGTTAAAAAATTATTTCGATTATCAACTTTGAGAGTGGTTTTGGATAAAAATTGGATCAAGTTTGTATTTTTAAGGTCAATATTAAATTATTTTCAGGAGAAACAAACAAAAACTTAAGGTAAGACGGGCATTTTTACACAAATTTAGTTTTTTACAAAATCGATTTTGTATTTTTAGTATGATTTAGAAACAAATAATCATAGTTATTGAAATTTTTATGAAATTTTATATAATAATTTTCTATATATGATTTAATTTAAAAATATTTTTAGTTTTTACTCTTTTTGAGTTATTCATAAGACATTTTCTAGTTGTTTTTTTTTTATAACTGTCGATAAAAAATTATTCACAAGGTAAAAATGTTTGAAAATTTCATACAAGATTTCTTATAAGTTGATTTTACATACATATTAGAATATTTAAAATATTTATAGTTATAATTTAGTTTTATAAGCAATTGAAATTAAAATTGTGATAAAATTCTTTGAGATCATGGAAATTTGAAAATCATTTTACAGTTGAAAATCAATCACGAAATTTCTTATACGTAATTTTAATGAAACCAACAAGTTTTAAAAAGAAATAAAAATATATTTTTTTTTATAAATATTTATCGATGAAATTTTTTATTTAAACTATAAATAACGATATTCATTATTTTGTTATGATTCAAAAATACTATTTGTGATTGTAACTTTTACGAATATTATTATATTTTATATACACAATGAAATTTTCAAGTGTCGTGTTTTCGAAAAAAATTAATTAAACGAGCCGTAATATAAATAGTTTAATAACAATATCAAAAAACATAACATGAAATATACTTAATTATATAGGCTGATAGACCGTTTTCACTCAGAATATTTTTTTCGTATACCATGAATTACTGTTTAATGTTTATAATATATATTAAATTGAATTAAAATTTAACACGTCTATTATTGTGACCTTTTCGAGTTCTCGACACTTACCACACAGTCAGAATAATATTCACATTTTTCGATTTGAATATTATCCTCAAAACCAAGTTCTATATTTTATACGTTTCTAATATTTAAAATTAATTGTATTAATAATATATATTTTTTTTATTTTACCTTATACTTTATTATTGTAATTATAATAATGACAAAAAATTAAAACATAATAATATGTCATAAAAAATTACTTATATATTATATATTAATATAAATTTGATACTAAAAATGAATAGGATTTTCCGTATGTTTTTAAATGTTTGTTAAATTTTTTAGATGCATATTTAATCGATACGGTTATTTACGATTTAGTATTTGAGTGATTTTAAGCTCTACAAAGTAAGCTGAGCTCTATTTGGAATAGTTTTTTCTTGTAAACAATATCAAGAGTCCAATACATGGTTTTTGTATCCCATTTCACTTCTTTTTCAATTGAAATAATAATATTTGTATTTCAAGAGCTTCCTAAGTGTATAGTTATTTAAAATTAGATCTTAAAGTCATCTCAGATTTAACCCTGAGATAATATTGTTTAATGGAATTATTAATAAATTACTGATGATTCGAAGTTGTCTAAAACCTAGTGTAACTATTTATACATATGCACTAAATTTATGAAGTCCTCTTTGTTTTTTAATGAAATTTACAAAATTACTATTGTATTCCTTAAAGTTTGTTTGATATGCCATGTTAGAGCAATCAATAAAAATCAACTAATAATAAAATTAAATAAATGTAATATAAATAACTTATGATTAATAACATAATACTATGTACATAGGATTTACGAATGTTTATATGTTAAAAATTGTACTTTTTAAATCCAATTATTAATGTAACATATTATAAAGTATACAAGCTATTAGAGTATAAGACTCAGTAGTTGAAAACCTCTTTCAATAGTAATTATATAATAACAAAAAATGTAGTATAAATTAGTATAAATCAGTAATAATATTATCTCAAGTGGCTTGGCGTGGCGCGTTGGCTGCTACCAGTCGCGGAATGCGACTGAGAGTAAGTAACGGCCACAGCTACTAGCTCTCGGATGGGTAACCACCTGAGATCATAGTGGTTAAAAATCTTGCCACACATACACGTGCTTGCTATCAACCGTAACAATCGTAAAAAAAAACAATCTACCGTACCAACCTTACCCCTACCACAAAATAAAAAAAGAATCCCAATGGCCCTATGTTGCCGCGGGATAAAAAAAAAATAAAATATTATCTCAAATTACTCATGAAAATACATTCAATTTAAGACAATTGTGTGATAAATAATATTATTTCTGAACAAATTTATTAAATTAAAAATTTGGATATTATTAACTGATTACAAAATATTTTGTACCTAATATGAATAAGTTTTTAATTATTTTGCCAATGGTTTTTTACATACTTGCAATGCATATTTAAAAATAAAGCAAATTTAGAATTTGTGGTTTTAGTTGAAATAAATGAAAATATTTACAATAACATATCATATGTTAGGTAGGTATACAATATAACCATAACAACCAAAATTATAACTAAACAAAATTGTAATATAGTAGTATGCAACTATTAGAAAACATAATATTGTAATTATTAGAGGAATGGGAGTGAGTATCAGAACTCAGAAGTATTATTTTGATAATTTTATTAATATTGAAAAAATTACATCAAAATATTTTGTAGGATTTAAAGGCGACTACAATTAAAGAAGCATTACTCAAATGGCAAGAAATAAACAAAGAACCACTTGCAGAAGCCGTATATGTCGGCTTGCAATTTCAATGGCCACCAATTGAAAAGATGGATGCTAACCTATCAGTTTTAAAGAATTGCGAGTAAATTAAATTAAAAAAAAAAGAAATAGTTATTTATTTTAACGAGTTATTAATTTGTTAAGCCATTGGTGTGTTTATGATTTGTTTTTGAACTGAACATGACGTTTATACTTAATATATGTGTATAGTTAAGTTTTAAATATTTAGAATAGATAATTTTCAATTTATATTTTTGCTAGTATGTATATTTTGGTGTTTTTTTGTAGAAAATTATCATTGAGCACAAATTGTATTGAAAAAATAAATGGTCTTGACACTTTAAAAAACTTAAAAATATTATCATTGTCTCGGAATAACTTGAAAAATTTTAATGGAATAGAAAAATTGGCTGATACTTTAGAAGAATTATGGATATCGTATAATTATATTGAAAAAACGAAAGGTATTATGGGCATGAAGAAACTGAAAGTATTATATATGAGTAATAATTTAATCGATAGTTGGAGTGAAGTGCAAAAACTATCAAAATTAGAAAATCTTCACGAACTAGTATTGACTGGTAAAGATTTTTTTTAATATTTATACTTCTTATGGTTAAAATAAATTTTTTTTTAGGTAATCCCATACAAGAGTCTATGGAAGAACAGGATTGGCGTACTGAATGCATTAAGAGACTAACACAAATATCAATATTAGATGGAATTCCTATAATAAGAGAATAATAATCATCAATATTTTTATTTAATGCAATGTTTGTTCCAAAAAATATCAAATTAAATATATTATTATACCACAGAAAACCCGTTTTTATATAATTGAATTATATAAAAAAAAAAAAATCAAATACTCATTTACTCAAATCAGTTCGAGTTATCGAGTTAGGTATGTACCGTGTTTTGGCAGGGATGTATTTTAATATTTATATTTTTTTTCTATAATAAAGCCTATTGTGTTTTTATCACTTGCACATTTTAAAATATTTGTATGTTGTTAGATTTTTATTGGAGTATATTATTTTAGTAATAAAAACATGTATATTGTTCATTACTATTATAATTTGTTTGTACTTATCATAAAATTATTTTATTTTTTTGTAATTTGTCGTTTAATATGACATATTTTCATCATATGTGTAAATGTAAAATATCGAGAAGCACATTCCAAAATGTTCACTACTAAGTATTCTAATATATTCTAATTATTGTTTTATAATCATCTTAATTTTTAAATAGGTATATTTATTGATGAATTTAATAAATTTACATTAATGGAGTACGATTAAAAATTTAAATTTAGTGATAAGCTATACTAATAAATTATTATATAAAAGTTACATTCATAATATTATGCTATTTTACAGAGAGGCTCATTGAAAGCAAATAATTAACTTTAAGGGATTGGAGAGTATATGAGATGTGACTTGTATTAAATACAAAAATATATCAAAAAATAAATATATTATTATAAGAGTGAATGGTCTTTAATTTAATTTTATACTATTTCATATTACGTAGTCGATATTATATATCTATATCGACTATATTATAAAATTTTTTGTTTGTAAAAGGCGTTAATTAAATGATTAACACATTTTATCATTATTATTATACTGTCGTCTATCCATCACACGAGTAAATTGGTTATTATTAAAAAGTTAAGTAGTTAAATATAGTTCAATAAATAGTGAGTTAAAAATTGCATTATTTTCACTGATTTCAAAGTATAGTCGAAAAAAAGTCTATCTTATAATATGTATGAAAAATTTACAAAAGTGATTGAAGAAGCAATAGAATGTTTAAGAAAATATTTGAATATTATGGCAAATTTATTTTATTTTTTATCATTATTATTATTATTGATAGGTATTATATATTGATAATATTAATGTCAGTTAAATCTACTTAACAGAATAGTCTCCAAGCCCTTGCTGGCTGTATTTTTGAAGACCGAGATTTTAAATACTCTGAGAACAACCAAAATAGAACATCGTATTAAATTTTTAAGTTTTAGTCAAGTATTAAATTTGATAATTACAAACATTTTGTATTTTATTACATTTTATCATAAATATTTTAATTTTAATTTATTTCATACGTGGTGTTTATATATACAAATATTACAAATATAATATAGAGCAACTGGTCTGGGCTAGATGATTTGGGTACTTCTTAAAATTATTAAAAGGGCGATAGTTACTAATTTTGATAATGTAGAAAATAGTCTAGTTTTTATATTTAATTATATATTTATATATACATATATTTAAATATGTATATATTGCGGAGAATGAATTTAACGAAGGAATACGGTTTCTCATTTTTGGAGGAAAATGGATACTGCGAGAAATAGGTGTATATATTGAGTATGAACTAATATCGTTATTTCGTGCTGGCGTGAATTACATCACTTGGCCTTTCTACCGTTGATGTAGTTTAAGTATATTATATTCCAAATGGCGAGGAAAATAATTGTTTGTTTAATGTTCTCCACTGAGTGCAAATGTGCAATTCTACAATTCTAATTGCTATGTGTTATTATTCATTAGTAGGTAGGTTAAGTATCTACGACATTATTTGCTTACAAAATTATATTATAATAGTTGATCAATCGTTATGTTAAAAAAAATAATAGCGATTACACATAAACTGTGGTACAACAATCTGATTTTATAGTAATAAATTCTCTTGTAATACACAAATACAAAATTGAATGTATATTTAATATTTTGTGTTAAGCGTGCAATACCTACACTATATACGTTGTCCAGTGGGTATACATTTGTCCTCATTGTAGGTACTTACGTCATATTCATCACAGTTATTTCAGGTTCAATTATGACGAACAATGGATAACACAGGTATCCAGCGGTGTCATTTAATTAAATTTGGAGTAGGTTATTGTTTGCAAGCTAACTATATACCGGTAATCGATTGAAGAATAATAAAATAATTTATTGTTTTCAGTGTTTACAATGTTTACACAGTTAATAATAAATTAAATATCATCAGTAATTTGTTTGCTAAACATTCAAATTTGATTAACTGCAGAGGCTTATCACTAATTTTAAACATTATTATTTTTCAATTATTGTCCAAAGCGACTTTTCGGATTGTGATCACATATACACAATCGCGTCTACGGTTTTATTCGACTAACGGTTCAAAAATAAAATTATTGTTTTTATCGCCTCCTCAAAATAGTTAATTGGATATGACACGTGGGTAGTGGCTGGCATTGTCACCCCGATTATCGAGATCAGCGGATTTATCTGTACAACTATTATTATAGTCTATCTTACACGTCCTAGATAAATCGAAAACGCATTAAGAGCCAAATGGGTTCGTTTAGGTTTGGCATTTGTGAAAGAGTTTTAACGAAACAATAATAACATTAACTTGGGATTTTTCGCTGGACTTTGTGTGTGTCCTATGTCTGGAAAATAATAATTCATCATCGGCGCTGTTCTATTAGTTATAACTTAGCTTATCATATAAACGTCGCATATAGTGTGGGTTCGATGTAGACATGAAGGATGATTCGTTCAGATAAAGCATTCAAGTAGTTGATGTGTCGTACATAATATAATTAGAAATAATGATAACAGTAATAATAAAAATAATGAAATAATGATTTAATAATAATAATAATAAATAATAACAATAATGATAATACAAATATTCAATAATAATTGAATATAGGTGTGAATTTGGTTGTTACGCGTAATCCCTTCTTCTTTCGGGTGTTTAGATGGGTTCTACGATTAACAGTAATTCACTAATGAGTAATGACTAGAAATATACGACTACGCAATAACACAGAACAACCATGTTATTCCGTAGGTTAAAATAATACTATTATAGCAATCGAAAAAGTTTTTTAAATGTTATCTGGACCGCATTTCAATTGTTTGAACAGATGGTTGGTAAAAACGAACGCTAAGGTCACCTATCCGATGGAAATCTAGACCCTGATTGACCGTATTAGTTTCTTGGGTGGCCGGCAGACGTTTCTTCCGGTTTCCGGACAGCAAAGGTCGGGCAGACAGTCTACGGTGGTCCGGCACTTCCGCGGGAACAGATCGTAGCGCTTGGGCGGTGGAGGACTGCACTGAAGGTACGGTGGCCGGCTGGATCTGAAGCCTGCGAACACGATCATCGTAATAGTTTTGTGACTATCGATTCTGCAGCTGCAATTTGCGACCTGTATTTCTTATCTCGCGATCGCAAAATTTTAATAATAAAATTGCGGGTAAAAAAATAATAATACCCATTATCAGGTACGATTGGCACTCAATGACATGGTACAAATATACCTTAAAAATCGTACGAAGCGTACTTAAGTTTTTTTTTTCTATTAAAATTCTGACCTTAAGATATTTCTAATACACTAAACAATAGTTCTGTTAAAAATGACGATGTACTGAAACAATAATTCGAACTAGTAGTTGCCGACTTAATTTTACTTAATGCGTTATAAGGGAAATCTGGAAATTAAGTATAATATTATAAAATATGAGATGGAATATCTCTATTATAGATAATAGACATAAACAGATTAAAATAAAACTAAATTTAGTTCTAATTTAATTTAATTTAATCTATATTATAATGTTTTTATTGAAGTTAAAGTTACAGTAATATATAATTAAATTCTAACTAACTACTTGTTTATATAATCAGAACGTCATATTAAGTTGATCAATAATTATTGTTATTTAGATACTTACAGTAAAATATTTCAGGAACTATTGTTTTAAATTTTAAATTTAAATAAATCAAGATTTTTCAACAGTTTACAAAATATTCAGCTTTCTATTTGAAAAACAAAAATTAATTATAAATTAAAATTTAAGTGTTTAAAATGGTCCTTATAATATATATTTTTAAATTTCAAAAATCTCAATCTGAATAGAAGTATAACTTAAGCTTAAATACATTATCTCTTGGGCAATGAGTATAGAGCTTAATGTCTATACGATGTGCAGCGGCATAGATAAACTCGGGTGATGTGTACGCACTCGATTCCTATTTATGCAGCAGCTTAAAAATAAAGGGGAAAGATAAATTCAGATGGGGGCTTAGTATTAGGGGTGAAGCAATTTTGGATAACACAAGTTCTCTATAAAAAAATAAACCAAATTTCTGTCTTAGTGCAACAGAATAATGTAGAGGAATTATTTGGTTATGTATATATATATATATATTTTAAATTGTGTGAGATTTTAAAATATAAAAACTTTTACAGAAAATATTAATTCAATTAACTATTTTCTTTCATTTTTGATAAATTGTGTTTTTATAATTTTTGTTATGCGAACATTTATATTATTGACGGAACAGTCATAATTTATAATAATAATAATTTCATGAACACAAAATGAATAAAAAAAGCAGTTACGAATACGTTTAAATAAATTTAAGATAATAACATAGAAAATAGATAAATATTTTGTACACTTAGCAGGTTTTATATAAAAATAATATGTTACATATTATATGTTTCAAAACTGATTAATGACTACGAGTATGTGTAAATAAGTCATGGATTTATTAAAACCAGAGGTGGCCAATCCAAATGACCTTGCGGGCCACTTTGAAAATACATTACGATTTCGCAGGCCACATATATTTTTATTTCTTATTAAAATTGGTTAGGTAATCGTGTTGACAAATTAGCGGGCCACATATAAAATTATATTAGTATTAATACAAAAAAATACAAAATTTATTGACATAGATAATATATGATAGTTTTAATTTATTTATTTCACTATTTAGTGATGTTTGATAAATCTCGCCATCCCTGATTAAAACCAAATTTTGTAGGTATACATTTTTTTTATGATACTCAAAATATTCAGAGTAGAAATTTTTGGTATTATTGTATTATTTATTTTTGAAATTAGCCATTTTAAGTGCGTGTAAGTTAATGATTTTTATTAACCAATTCTGGAATATGCATATTTTATAGTATTTACAAAATGAATTAAATAAAAACACGCATTGCATAGACTATAATACATCTAAATATATAATACATTTTAATGATCCAAAGTTTATTGTTGATATTGTATAAATAAATAACAATGATATGTAAATAATTTCATTGAGGTTTTTACACGAATCGTAAATAATAGGCTTAGAGTTAATTGTTTTGTGTATAATGAATGACTAATGTCGTTATTATAGGTGCTTAAAAAAGTTATGGCCGCATGATTTTGATTACTGCATTCGATTTACGTCTTTCAACGAACGATGATTTTTTAAGCCCGTCACGGCAATGGTTGATTTCACGACCAAAAGTCGTAAAGACTGTTTTTATTTTTTCAATTGAATTTTTAGAGTTGTACTTAGACCATAATAAAGTTTATATTATTAGTTTAAGTAAGTCATATGTGTTGAGATTAGGTTTATTAGGAAAAAATATCTCTATAATTCCTGCGTTGACTTGAATGATTTTCAGTTTAGTTTGACTTAACGTATTATTATTATGTATAAGAGTTGCGTTGTGGTTCTTGTTGAGTAAGAAAAATATTTTTTTAGTATTTCATAAGATAATAGTAAAATCTGGTGATGGGACTCAAAGTTATCGAGTTCGAATTTCGAAAAAGAACACATGGATGTACGTTGAATAGAAGTTATTTTTTAAATTTAGTAATTTATATATGTATATATATTTTATTTTATTTGATTCGAAAAATAATAAACAATATTTCAATTTAAATATATTATTTTTAATGCATTAAATTGAAAATTATTTTCCGACTATAAATCACTATGGTTTCGTACTTTGTATTTTGACTGAAAAATAAAATTGAAGAATAATACTACAGGAAAAAAAAGAAAAGAAAATTCGATCACTTTCAATTTATCTTTATTTATCGCAGAACGCATTGAATTCTATAAAGTAATATTATTTTGTGTACGTCTTACATAATGGTTAATTAATGAAATTTTTAATTAAAAGACAATTTATATTTCTTAATTTTAAACAAATAGTTAAAATAATACGAGTGCATGGAATATTCCTATGATTATAATAAGAAAATGCGTCAATATTTTATTTAAATAGACAAAAAATATTTTAAAAATGATTATCAAAGGTTCTAAAATGCGTAAGTATAAAAACTTTTAGTGTAAAATTTATCCCTATTAAAAATTTTAAAAACGGTTTTGATTTCATTAAATTTTTTAAAAAAAAAAAAAAAAAAACTTTACTTATAAATACTTATTAAAGTGAATATTACGAGTATACCCTAGAAACTTGTGGGAATAGATAATTAACAATTAGCTAATTATACATATTTTTTATTGTGATTAAATTAAACATATTATCTTAAATATAAAAAAAGTAATAGTATTAAAATGTATTGTATAATAAATACAGATATATTTTTTTTATATAATGTATGATTATTATTTAGTAATATTTTACATTTATTTGATATGAATTTTACAATGAAAACTCAGTTCATATTAGAGAATTTAGTTAAATATTTTATGAATTTATGGTTATAGAAGAAATATTATATCTGCATCGAATAATTTGAATACTAGAAATTATTGTATCTGTTCGAAGTTTAACATTTCAATCGGCGAAGTATTAGTTTTTTTTTATTGTAATAAATAATACCTTTGATGTTCCTTAAATATCATTTACGTATATACAGATGCAGTGCTTTTTGAAAATATGGATTTATAATAAACTTCATGTCAAAGTTGAAAATGGAAATAGAGCTTTATTTAATTTAAATTGAATTTAATAGTGGGTAAATACCATTATTCAGTTATCGTTTTACATAGAAATGTAATTAGTATCAAAATTCTAATGGTCTAAAGCAGCACTCTATAATAGGTAGGTATTACACAGCATGAGAGAATATTAAAATACCAACTAATTTATTGTAAACATTTATTTCTTAGTTTTTATTCTTATTTCAATTGATATCGTTGAGAAATTTCAAGTATTTTACTAAGAAAATTCAATATATTTTTAATTATGATTTTAAAATAAAGCGCAGTTTGACTACTACCAGAAGCATACATTATATTGTGAAAATATTTTATGGAAACTATTTTCTTTTTTGAAAAGTTCAATTAAGGTTAGGTCAAAAATTCACTATAATCATTATGAAAAGTTGTGTATAACCATCACGTCTTTCAATGGGGCTTACATTTTTTAAATTCCCTACGAAGTGGGTAATATACTTTTTGAAATTATTAGAAAGAATAAATCACATATTTAAAACGTAATTATTTAAGAAACAGCATTAATAATATATCAAGATATTTAATATCTTTCAACACTGTTGAAGGTATATTTTATAAAAATGTATGTAAAAGTACAATTTATTTTTATAATAAATTAAATTTATTTTATAATAACAAGTTAAAATGAATAATGTATTTTGAAATTTAAGAAGTATAATATAACACTTGACATTTTTGATTGGTGTAATGTTAAAGTGCAGTAAGATAAACAGTGATTTTCTCATATCCTTTTTAGTGCGGTTGAGCTGCTGGCAGTATTAGTCGAGTAGGTACTAAAACTAATCAAAAATACATATTAAAAAATATGTCGATAATATGTGTTTATTTATTATTGTGTTGTAATGTAAATAAATGGCCGTTTAAGAGAAATGGTATATGTCAGTTTAAGATTGTTCTGAATTCATTAATTAACATACAATCAAACGTTTTGTCATGTATAATTACATTAACGTTAATTATTAGTTTTTTAATTGTGTAAATGTAGGTATTATTTATGTGTGCACTTACTTTTCATAATGGTTTTCAATAAATCATTTCGCCAACTTGGCAAAGGAATTCGACAATATTTTTGACCATTGAGTCCACCGTACCCACAACATATTCTTGGCCAGCAGTCTCTATCAGATTCACAATGTTGCCGAGGAAAAACTGGTGGCAGTTCAAATCCAGGGCACGATTTATTGTTGAGTTGAAAAATATTTGCTGAAATAATGTAATAATAATGTAAATAGTATCTATAAGGCTTAAATTGATTATTAGTAGTCATAATTTAATATATTAATCAAACCATAAAAAATACTTTAAAAATAATGTTGTTGTTAAACTATATATTTGACGAGAAATTTTTTTTGGAATTTGTTTTATTTAATTATAAATTAACACTCATTCCGTGCTGAAGTTTCGTTATTGAATAATGATTCTTTCTTTATGCCACCAACTTTTTTTTTTGATGAATGTAATCATTTATTTTATTGTACCATATAATATGTAATCTGTACGGACTATATTATTATTTTTACAAATGATTATAAATCTCTAATTAAAAACCCTGTATATTTTTTTAAATTTTTGTAGTTAAGTTTTAGAAGAAGTATATTCAATAACATAATAATAATAAAAACATTGTAAATTTTGTATCTCAAAATTATTTTATTAGAAAGAGTTCTAGAGTGCTTTTACAATTTATAACGATAAAAATACTGAAGGTAATTTTATGGAAACATTTTCATTTTTCATACTATATTTTAAATTAATTGCTTACAGTATTATATTAATATATGTAATCTATAAATTAATATCAAAAGGAAAATTTGAAAAATAGTAATATTCTACCGTTGACCTGAGGTTTTTTTATTGGAGAAAGAATAATATGTTAGAAAATTGATAAGACTAAATTTATACTTAATAGCAATATTTTTAACTGTCAATGCACGATCAATATAGTGTTCATTAATATATATTTATTTTATTCGATATTATTCAGTAAGCATATTATTGTATTTTAATATAACTTAAGTTTTAATTAACCTTTTAAAATTGATGAATTTTAGTAACTTTTATGTTGGTAACATAAAATATGATTCAAAGATATTATTTTAATAATTAACTGAACATAGTAATAGTTTATATAAAATCTATAAAACACTTTTTATCAATATCATCAGTTTAGATTTTTTAAAGCATTTACTAAAACATTTTATTAATAAACTGGAAATAGATGATAACAGATAGTGAAACTGTCTTATTTTATAGGTCAAATGAAAGTGGAATTTACTATAATATTCAGAATAGTAGTCAAAGAGCAATTGTTTTTAAAATTATGTGTATTTTCTCAGATATTTATTTTTAAGGCACTAAAGTGATCCAAAAGTTCTATGTAGTTTATACATTAATTTAAAGAAGAAGATACTTTTGAAGTAACATTTGTAAGCTTTTTGTAGTTTCTTAGAATACAACAACATTTTACAAGACCCAGTGAAACGTATGATAAAGTACAAACTGTGCTGTAAAAAATATATGAATTAAGCTATATAATAGTAATTATTTTTTATTAAATACACGTCATATTTTTATTTTTATTTTTAGTCATATTTTTATTTTTAGTTTTTTGCAATAATATTTATGTTTAATTATAATAAAATTTAATGAACAATTTACTATTTGGTCATTCAGACTTTACACAGTTCTCAATAATTTAAATATAAATTAAAATAAATTTGATTATAACTAATCAATTATAAAATGTTATTATTGTTAGTAGTTTAATATAAAAACGTCAAACTTTTCCATAGTTTTTAACCTTTAAAATGCACGATTTAAAAGTATGAAATATGCAATCGATCAATCATGATCAGTGGCATATATGGTATATGTTTTGAAGGTTGTTTTATGGTATTTGCAGGTTTTTGTTGTTGTTACTAGATTGATCTATCCTATCATTTGAACCGTTATAAAGAGTGAGAAACAAAAAGTATTTTTATTAGCATTACTCAATTTACAAATGTATAATATGTCAAAATAATTTATATGTAGGTAACTACTAACTATACATTTTCATCTAAATGTTATAATTTAAATACTTGAAAATTTAAATTTAGTTTAAAGACGTTATTATCTTAAGTATGCAACATTTATTATCGTATGAGTCTGTGATGTATTATATTTAAGCCTATAATTTTAAATTAACAAAATGTCTGGACACCAGATTTTATTATAACAAAATAATTAATATTATGTAGGTAATATGTACAGTAGGCATTTAAAATACCTGTTAAAATAAACAAAATATAATAAACTAGTATACAATTAATAAACATTTGACATTTAATTAATTTTTTCAATAATTGTTAATTTTTACAATATTATGTAATTTGCAGTGCTTTAGTCAGCTGTAGTTAAATGAAGTTGTTGATTGTATTGTGTTGGTCAGAGCAATTTCCGGACCTAGTAGATATAATTTTATATGTAAATTAATAAAAAATAATTAAGTTAGCAATAAATATCAATGCCACCTACTTAATTGCTTCGTTGTATAATCAACACTTTTTTTTTTGATAAATTATCGAATTAATATTTAAACGTGATTATTATATAATCTTTAGAGCTTTTATGTGAGTTTTTTTAGGTTTCTCAATAATGAGTTTCTAGAGAAGAATAACACGTAGAATAAAATCCTATTATTGTTGTAAAAATATAAGTTACTTAATTTTTTATTTCATACATAATCCAAATCTATTAAATAATACACAAAATATAATTACATTTTTTTAAATTTATTATACAAAAGCATAACAATAAATAAGTGATTTTGATATATTATTATTTATTATTTATTTATGAGTAAATGGTAAAATAATGGAGTTTATTGAATTTGGTTAAATATTTAGTTATTATTCAATGAAATCTAACTATACTTAAAAATTAATCATAATGTATCATTTTTTTAACTCAATAGATACGTGGTTCAAAGTTTGTTTACAAATTATATTCAGTATAAGTAAAGTGAAACCGATTAAAATTTACGGATTCCTTACTTTAAGTATGCTTATTACTTAAATAGAATATCAAATTAAATGCAAACGAGATATGAACAAATATTATATTATACTGTCTATACTACGCGAATAGGGAAACCTATTCAATAAAGAATATTAAAATCCCATTATAATTTACGCTTTGAGTTGAAATTATTCCTTATAAATAATATGGATATGTATATTCGATGTGTTAAAATTTTATAAGAATTGCAACTTATACTTATAGGATAAGTTTTTTTTTTTTTTTAAATGGTTTAAAGTTTTGTATTTTGAAAGAAAATAAAGGTAAATATAGTTTACATAAACAAATAGGTAACCATTTTTTTAAACAGTTATAATATGTATTTCACGTATTCCTAGTAGTAACTATATGGTTGTATAAAAATGATAATTGTTATTTATAAATTATAATCAATTAATACAAACATATTCAAGTATAGAGAACTAACTACTGGTGAGATTTAGATAATATATTAATTAACTCTATGGTAAAGATAAAAAATAGTCCATAATAAAACCTTATAAGTCAAATCGATAAAAATTTCCTGTTTGCACGTACAAAGGAAATCGAAAGTAAAATAAAATGAATGGTACAAAAATGTGAACCTAAGAGAAAAAAGTAAACGATAGTGAAAAAATAAGATACCAGATTTCCGTTTTTTTTTCTACTGAAAACTACGTACCATTGAACATAAAAAGATGGATATATTGGTGGAAATTTTAAAAGAAAAAAAGTGTGTGAAATAAGTGAAATACGTAATAATGGGGTGGATACGATGAGTAGTGACAGGAACATTTGGTCATGATAGATCAAAAGGTGACGACAATCATCACAACAAAAAATCGTCAAAAATAACGAAGGTCATGAATTTAGTGGACTGATAAAATTTAACTATACGTTTATGTTGATAAAATTAAAATTGTTTAAAGCTCATAGAATATTTATGAGCCAATTAATAATAATGTTGGTAATATGTCTTTACTTTAGATTTTATGAGATTTTATAAACCTATACAATAAATGCATGTAATATAAATATTAAAAATCAAAAAAAAATCAAAGAGGAACAATTACAAGATTACATACGTTGGTTAATTGCTGAACAAATGGGTTATAACTTATAGCAAACGCATAGAAAATATTTGTTTGATTGACGTGCACGCTGCAATGTGCTTTTGATACAATTATTATATTTTAAAATAAGAAATGTGGACAAAAATGTACGCGTAGATAACAAATTAGAAACTACTATAAATTATATTTATTAAAATTATTTTATTTATTTAACTAAATGTTTTAAACATAAATAGTAAAAATACAATTTTACATTTACGATCAGCCTTTATGACATATGTTATCATATTCTCGATTCCGTAAATTTTATTTTTTCAAAATATTTTAATTTAAATTAATTTAATTTTTCAAAGTTCTTTTAACTTTATATGGCTGCTTAATTATTTAACTGAAAAATATTCAAACTTAAATTTTTATTTCAAAATATTCTGTATATTTTATTTATAACATAAAATTACGAAATGAAGATTGTGTATAGTTATTAAAAATAAATCGGATTTTAAGTAAAAACTTATTTTATTGATTCTACGTAATATTTTTTAAGCACATTAGAAGTCCCGTCAGATTTACGCAGTTTGAGAAAAGGAGTTACAAAATCATTCTTTTAATAGTTCTTTTGTACCTTTGTAAGTTGATTGACCTATAGGTACGTAGTTTCTTTAAAATGTTTTCAAACTGATGAGTTTTACATGGAAAATGACATAGACTTTCAAATCTTCTTAGAAAATCATGGAAATATTAAAAGAGTGGTTTTTTCCAACAGTTTTTTTTTAAGAAACATTATTATTCGCTGAAATAGCGAAAGCGGTGTTGCTTACGTACGTTTTTTGGTGGTAGTCCAATCTACTGCTGAGACGTCTTGTACGTCTGATTCACATTTACCTCCGTCGCAACTGAGGTCCACATCTTCTAGGCTGTTGATCGATGAGTCGTCATCTGAAACATTCAAAACACAAACAATAAGTATAAATATATCTGTAATAGTCGAGCTGTCATAGTTGTAAACTAATAGCTAATAAAAAAAAAAAAAGTATAAATATGAAAAAATACAAAAGAGTTAGTGTTTGAATAATTTCTAAGAATTTTGGGAAATGTGAAATTGATCATATGCATATTGTATTAGACTTTTTGTTTGAAGTCTTGTGAAAAATTAATATTTTATCGAATCCTTTAATATTTATTTGAAGTGAACGCCACATCCATCAACCACGTGTGTTGACAAGGTTTTGGTTTATTTAACTGGGTATGATTTAAATATGTGATTTTTGCTTATTAAATAATATTGACTAATATTTCTGTAATTCCAATTAGGGTGCTATTTATATAATTTAATTCAACAATGAAAAATAATTAAAAAATTTAATTGGGTAACTAATGTAATAAGAAGTTGTATTATGAAAATACAAATCGCTTAAATATTAGTGTAAGTAATTTAAATTAATTTATATAAATAAAATATTTATTTTTTTATGCTAAATTTACATCCTATATAAATAAACACAATAAGTTAATGAGATGAAATAATATATGTGAACTTTGGCTTGAATGGATTGAAGAGGGGAGAAGAAACCATTCAGTAACAGTACCTCTTAATTTGATGGGTTCAAGTAATATTTAAAATTAAATGCCTTAACATTTTCTTTATATTATTATTTTAACAAAATTATCAATTACGTTTTCTTATAATTTTAGGCTCCGAGTTCATTCTTACGACTAATTTAAATTTTTCTCTATTCATAGAAGTACGAAATATATTTTTATTTGTTTTAGAAAACTTAACTACTGTTATTTTTTATCATTACAACAAGATAAATTTAAAAAACTATTTCAATATTTGGAAAACAATCTTTTACTTCATATTGTTATGCATTTTATAAATTAAATGTTCTTTGTCAAATTGTTAAATTTACTGGTTTTATTTTTAAAAACTTCAAATTATTCTTTGAACCAAATTAGTTTTATTTCTAAAATTTTAATGAGTTTAATTGCTTTATTTTCAAATTGCAAATAACAAAATTAATTGGTTTAATTTTTGAAAATGTCGAATCGTCAGTACGTAATATATTCATAGACAATTGTTTGTTTAAGTTTTCGATAATATTGTTACGATCCACGCGTGTTAGTGTATGACGATTAAGATTGTTTCATTTTATTATACGCTTTTAATACAATCTTGTAAATTCAAATAAAACGAATTGTTTTGTATTAACTTTTAAATACTTACAAAACTTTGGGGCTCAAATTTGTGGGGGTTCCTGTGCTTCAGCATACTATAGATTTATAGTATAAACCCTATTTACCTAACCCTAAATTCGACCGTGTTACTTAGTATGACAGCGATTAATAATTATAATAGGAATAGTATTGATTGATGGGGTTTCTCCGGCTGTGAAAGTTTGAGATATCGTAATAACGATGGTCTCAATCAGAAATACTATGTTATAATTAGACAAATTGTGTACGTCATTATTATTTTTCCAAAAATATGATAACGTTTTTAAAAATATTTTTTTTCCAATTATTTTCCAACTATTAGGATTATTACGTTTTTATCAATAACTTTTGAACGTGAGGTCCTAGACACGTGTCTTACCTAAACCAATTAACAGAAATCCTAAACTCAGCGTACAGAAATATTTTGGAAATAGAAACATTACGTGCATAATTTAGATTGTACTTAAATAATTGGTGTAACGATAAAAACAGATAAAAATACAGTATATAAGAAGTGGCGATAGAAAAAAAACTCCGTGGAATTTGTTAAAATAATTGCACGAATAACTCAACGATTGAATAGCAATTAATGAAATATGCATGAATATAAAATTGTAATTTTATACAATATAAAAGTAACAATCGTAAACCATGAAAACTAAACGGAATAATATGGACAGAAAATACTTGGTTAAAAAAAAATATACACAAATATGTGTAATAAATTCGCGTTCGATCCAGTAAACGATAATAATAATGTAGTCGTGTACTATATGTTACCAGTCACGATGATAATATTATGAATTTTGTTTTATTAATCGACGGCCGAGGCGTCCAATGGTGCCCGAGCTTTCCTGCCGCGACCGACCGATTTCGCGCGTTTCGCCATCGCGGCGATATGGCAACAGCAAAATATTATTATATTATTGTTTTAAACTAAAGTAAAAACTAAACGATTAAAAAAATACATAAATCCATACGTATACCGTACCGTTTTTCGGTCGTATCGAGCCTCCGTTCTTCGCGCCGACCGTGGCCCGGACGGCCGGCAACAGTATCAGCATGGACAGGACGAACCGGTGGCGCATAGCGTCGGAGTACTAGGATGTCACTGGCGGTAATCGCACGCGCACACGGACGACTCGTCGGCCCTCAGCGGTTACTTTTCCCTCCATCCGGTTGCGCGCGAACGCAACAATAATAATAATATAATGTTGTTATTATTATTATGAGTATTATTGTTGTGTCGTGTCGTCGTCCGTAGGCTACGTCAGGTGTACAGGGTGATTGTTCCGTATGACATTATTTGACCATCTTGTCGGTAAGGTTAGAGTAGACATCAAACATATTATTGTGTGTTTTGTTAAACACGAATTCCTGCATAATTTCAAGTCATTGTTACAATATTTTTCTAAAATTTTTATTTTTATTTTTATTTTTTTAAGTAATCGGCCATTTTAAACACGATAACATACACTTTATAATTCATTTTCCGAAGCATGACAACGTTGTTCCTAGTGTATTGGTGTATGAATCGAATGTCGATTATTACAACAGCTACCTAGTGTGAGCATTTAGATTTTTAAAGTAAAAAGCGGAGTGGCGTGTAGAGAACAAAATGTTTATGGTATGTTTTACGTTCTATTCCACTCGTAATCTAAAGTTTGAATATTTTTATTACTGATTTGAAATTCGATTTTTATAATTTAGAAAAATAGTGAGTTTGAGAATAGACAATTAAAAATGTATATTTTTTATAAAAAATTTCGCTTTTGAAACGATTTCAAATTTTGAACTAAAGATTGTTCAAAAATACGTCCATTTACTTAAAATAGGACTACTACTGTTTACTGATAAAAGTATTACATTGAATAATATTAAAGTATACATTATGTCATGCATTATTATTGTAACGAATTGCATTGAACAGGTAGGCACACATATTTATATGCCGTGGCGTGGAGGGGGGGGGGGCGATCAGGGTTAGACTAAACTACGACCGAAGTTGTGTTTTTACCGGATCATACCATTCATGGGTCGCGGTCATTTGGAGGCTTATTCAAGGAAAAACCGTAATTTAAACTATCACAGCTGCAGTAGGTTGTCGAAAATTTGATTTGTAGCCTGTACCGAGCCATGCCAGAAATTAAAATAATATAAAATGCATAGTTTTTATTATATAATAAATCATTTTAATAGTTTATATTGATACCAATGTGTACAAAATATGTAATTTATGTGCGTACTAATATTGTCACTGAATATTGTCCTGTAGATGACGGGCGTAACACGTTTTGATTAAAAGTATACCTCATTTTTTTCATATATACAATATTTGTTAATTTATTTTTTTAAATCTTAAGTTTTTTTTTTTTTTTTTACAAAATTTTACCTGGAGTATAAAAGAAAATGTAGTTTTAATAAATATTTTGCGTACTGACAAGCGCATAATTTCAAACTTGATACGGATTGATTCTATTATTATTGCTACGAAAATGATTTCCTCAATATGTATAATATTTTTAATATTTTTAAATATTTTAAATAAAATAACTGTATAATATTTTTTATTAATAAATATAGTTTTTTTTTTTTGCAAACTTAGTTGATATCTCATTTGGTAGAAAAGGGTAAGGTACACTTTTGATAAAAATAATAAATGCCATCTACGATTACGGTATATTACCGTAACAAAAGTTTAAAATATTAATTTATTTTTATTAGATCAACATTTTTTTCAAATACGTAATTGCGTAATATTGGTATTTATTAAAATTTTACTTAGCAGACGATTTATGTATTATATTATTATTACAAGATAATATTAATTTGAATTATTTTCGATTTATTTATGCAGATAAATATTATACTTAATTTTTAACAAATTTAATATTTTTATAATTTTTTTTTTTTAAATGATTTTAACAAAATATTAATTGTCAGAAAAAGAGGTATACGAAGAAAATGTGTTAGATAATATACATTGTACATTTATTACTATGATTATTGTGTAGAAAAAAGCCACTCATTGTTGACACGACTGTACAGGTTAAATATTAAATAAAGTAACAAATAATTTATTTTTTAATGTTGATAAAATAAGATTTATAAAATATAATTTTTGATAAATAATTCAATAAATGTATATGTACTTACTAGACGATAAAAAATGTTAATATTGAAATTACTTCATTGAACTCTGTCACCTGTGCAAACATTATTGGACCGATGTAAGTAGTAGGAATATCATTCAAAAGGTACATACTATACACTTATTTATTTATTTATTTTGTTCTATACTCTACTATACAAGTATATCATTAAGTCACATATATTTACAGATATTTTGGAAATCGCGTGGAATCATTGGACGAATTTCATGGATTTAGTTTAAAATCTACACGAATGACGGTGAAGGAGGGTGAAGTGGAATTAGAGGTAATAAACACAGTATACACATTATGTGTGAAAATACTGAGATATTTGTAAGGCGACGTATTTCGTTCATTTCGAACACCTTTCTCTCACCTCGCATCGTTACGAACCTATATGACGGATTGATGGATAAAAGTTTGATTCACAACAGTATGAGCTTTTAGACGATTCGACTCGTCGTGGCAAATAGTTCAAAGTCGACTAATGTGGGTGCATGTTTTTTTCAAAAAAAAATATTACTATAATTTACTTGACAATGTGTTCGGACGTCATTAAAACCAAATTAGTTGGGGATAGTCGTCCAAATATATTTTATATGTTTTTCAATTGTTGCTTATATCATTTTCAAACCGTTAAAAATGTTATGTGCTATTTATCATTGCGCAGGAATTTGTGTATTATAGTTACGGTGGTTAAATTCAGTTTTCGTGTTCGAAAACACCGTTTTTAATAGTTAGCAAACTTTGAAATTTAAACAAGGAAAATAAATTAATTTTTGTTTATGAGGCTGCTTTTCAAGTAATTAGAAATATACACGGCGAATGAAATCAAAAGACTCGTCCAATATTTGATTAATATTATCGTATACATTTCATAAATAATTACTTGAGATGTTTTTTTTTGTTTTTTTTTTTACAATACAAACAACGGCATTAATATTATATTATTTTCAATCACGCAAACTTCATACCAAAATTGACGGTTATCGTTTATAACAGCGTATTTATACACATTTGTTTGTTAATTATCAGAACTCTGTATAGGTACCGTATGATTTATTTGATGTGATTCGAGATCTTAAAACCCTCGGGCGATCTGTAGCACACGGTCTCGAAATTTCGTTGTGACTTACAAGTCTAAATATATCATTACAAACGATTGTTGTACCCACAACTGCACGCCGTCTTCTCTTCGGGCCACATAATATGCATATGATGTGACCTGTTATTACCAGACTTCGGTAACGGGGTCAATGTTGATTCGGTGTACAACACGAGTCGTGTGTATCTAATCCACTCGCGAGATGTGTACAACAATATTATGTTCGTGACATTTTAGTTATTGTGCGAATTTACAGTGCGTTTCACGGGTGTGGCGATATGTGATGTTTAAAATATGATATTCTAATTTCGTTCTTGTATCGAATACGACGAGTGTAAGGGATAGCGTTATTTTTACACTGTTGTTAAATTTTGAAATTGTCCCAATCCCTTGGATGTGAAGTTTTCGAATTTTCATGGGGAGCTCTATTACGTTAATAGATACCCGAAAATATGTTTGTCATGTTATTTTAACTCGAAAAACACGAACATTATTGTGGCTATCGAAATTTTGACAAAGACCTAATCGGATTATTATATTAAATTATTAACTATATTTTAATTTTCAGCTCAATTATACAATTGGTAATTTTATTTTATATATTTATATAATTTAAAAATATAAAAGCTTTATAGCGGTACTTAAAATTTACAATTAGCAATTTAATATAATATTTAGGTATGTACTTATACGCGGAGACAATAAATTTTGTATGAAATACTCCTGGAATGATACGGACTCAAGCTATTATTTTATTGATGAATTTTTTATTTTTCATTTAGGTTTATTATTTCATATTAGTAAACCAAATCAACAATAAATGTTGATTTTTGATCAATTAATTTGGTTGGCGATGTTTTTATTCCAACTTTACAACAATGAACAAATTATTAATTTATATTCTACCTTGGATAAAATCAACACTAATAGGATATTTTATTGTTTAAATTTTACATTTTTTCATAGGGCTAATTGATATTGATCAAATTGAATACTTGTCAATTAGATTTACGTCATAAATATTTTACACAAACATTATACACGTAGTGCATATAATATTAAGTTAAATTTCTTTTAAAGTTAAGTAATAGTATTGTTCATTTAATATAATATAAAATATAATTTTATCGAATTGTTTTTACTCAATTATTCTTAAAATATTTTTCGTTTTTTCTTAAATCAAATAATACGTACATAGTGTATTACATTTAAGTACTTTGTTTACGCAATTTATTTTATTTTGTATACATAACATTAGTATATAATATGTAAGCCACATTTATGCGATTGATTATATTTTTCATTGAATTACTATTGTACATGCCCTTCGTATCTTATTAGTTGTTGTTAGTTATAATAGATAAATAAAAATATTCAAGGATATTTTTGAATAAATTGTTTTTATTTTTTTTTTATGTACGAGTACTAATTGAATGTCAGAATTCGTTTCATTTAAATGGTTTGGATCTATTGCAGCTTAAAGTGAGTAATTGACATTTTATCATATTATATTATGGCATTTTAACGATATTACCGATAAATGTTTGTTTGAAATACGAATCAAAAACACAAAAATAAAAATAACAATTTTCATATGGTCTGGGTAATATAGTTCGCGAATATTGTTTATAGTCGATTGAAGATTTATGACTTAAAAATACAATACATGCGAAAATTGAAGTAGTGATGTAATTATAATCAGATTACACATTTTTGTTTCAATCATTATCAGTTAATAAATGTATTAAAGTATAATGATCTATAAAAATAAATAAAGATTTTATATTGTTCGTAACCAAATAATATTACATTCCAGCGATCCATAAATAGTTTCTGAGATCATGGTTAAAGTTGTTGTAGGACCTTGCCATAAGCATTTAATTGGATTTTTAGTATTCTCGTTTGCCGTCACCCCGATATTATTCTCTACGTACTATTCAATTAGCCTACATAATATTTTACTAATCTTTTACTTACTTTTTTCGTTGTTTATTTTTGTAG